GGGGGGGGGGGGGGGGGGTTGGGGTTGTCCAATAATTACAATTGATCAGACTATATATCAAAAACCCTATATGTAGCCACCAATCTACCAACCAGAGAGCAAATTACTCCTTCAAGTTCTCAAACAACCCCCCCTTTAAATCTCTTTTTTCTCTTTCTGATATAGTTCAAATACAGCCAAGACCTGTAGTCAACATAGCAGTACCGGATGCCTTGGAAGGTCTCGCTAACAGTAAGTTACTTATAGCTAATAAATAGATTCGCGATAAGGTATATATATCAAAGTATGATAGAGCTATCGGCTAAGATTAAGGAGCTATATATATGGTATGTTGTGTTGTGTTATATTGTGTACTCTTACTCTGTGCGTTGGGCTCGAGAAGTTGAATGAGAGATACTGATTTGATTATTGCTAATGTTGATTATTGCTAATGTTGATTATTGCTAATGTTGATTATTGCTAATGTTGATTATTGCTAATGTTGATTATTGCTAATGTTGATTGCTGTAGCTTGAGTTACAGTACCAGCACTCTGGGGTTTTTGACATGCCTGCCAAGGATAGTCAGTCAATTTGGTCAGAAACCTCGAAAGTGTGATGGAGTCTTAATGAGTAAGGAAATGAGCAAGGAAATTAGCAAAGTGAAGTTACTCCATTGATGTAAAACGAGGAAGGATAATGTGTTTTCTTGATACTTGGAAATAGTAAATAGAATTAGTAAAGATAGATATATAGCGCATAATATTATATAAACTCTCAGTATTTCTGGATTCTAAGTGGGAATACGATACTAGTAAACGAATTCTAGAAAATTTGGATGATAATTACTTAGCTATTACACAGTTGTGATGCGAATCCTTATTCTATCTAGTAAATACCTAAGTTCTGGTAGATACTGAATATGCCAAACCTTCCGATATTGTTTATAGCCTCTTTCAAATTGCGCACCAAACAGACCTTCCGCCTTTCTTTAGGATCTGAGTAGACGGGGTTTAAAGGAGGACTTCAATCTCTTTATATTATCTTATCTAGATCTCGGTAAAGAGAATACGTTCCTTAACGTCTTTGATTTCTTAGGCGTTTCCTAGAAGTAGAGGATTTTTATAGTAAGATAGTATTCGTTAATATTAATAATTAATAGTAGAATAGGTTAACGATATACCCTGTTTAAGAAAAGATTACTAGGAATAAAGGGACGGGTTATACTTTAGGACTTTAGTATAGGGGTACGTACTTCCTGTAGGTACTCATTGAGGATGTGGAGGATGGTTGTTGTATGTGGGTTGATCGACTAGTTAAAGGAATGCTCTCGTTAATCTCTCTCTCGAGCTCTTTGCAAGTCAAGAATTACATTCACGCATCACTTACCCAACCAAACCCAAACCAAACTCAGGTACAACTTTTACCACATACAACACATTCCATACTTACCCAGATGAAAAATACATCGAGCTAGCTTCTGAAGAAAACCTCTAGAGCGGTGTCCTAGAGTTAATTCTTATCTATAATAAGATGATTGTTCCGAATCAAGGGGGCTGGGTGTCATACGTAGCCCATGCTGTTCGATATGATTATAATGACTAGCTTGGCTTTTATAGAGAGGACTGAAATAGTGGAGTTCCTTGTTAGGAGCTGCTGGGGTGGAAATTTTGGGAAGGAGGAGTTATGATGAGAAGGCAGGAGAGTTGTGTTGTTATATCTAGGGTTTAGATGGGGATGTAACTTGATTGGCTTGGTGGCCAGTAAGATCGGGAGGTTTAGTGCTAAGGTTTTCGAATCCTGCACTTATATGGAATGCCTAAATAGCCTTCAGATATTGGATAGCGAGCTTTAAAGATGCCACATACGATATATTGCTGAATGGTGTTGTACTATAAGACAATCTTATAACATTAGAGACCAAATGAAAACTGGAAACTGGATTGTGTAATTAACTTGTATGTTGTATCTGCATATTGAGTTCTCTAATTATCGTTTCTAGTGGCTGAAGTTCTTTTCACTCAGCCCAAGTTCAAAACGAATTTAATTGGTAATTCTGGAAAAAGACTCTAGTTTGGCTCTTCAGATGTAACCACAGTCATCTATTACAGAAATACGTACATAGCAACAACCTGATAATGTCGTTGATGGTTATGACTTCAACTTCTTTGGGGTAGCTCTGCCCAAGGGTAGCTCTGCCCAAGGGATACTCGCGCAACTATACACTCTCGCCTACTCAGAAGAGAAGCTTTTCTCCATTATGATTTCCCCTCTCTTGGGTACGACATCACTGTGTGCTCCGCTTTCAACTGTTGTGGAGCCAGCCCCATTGTGTTTTGCCCACCCAGCACGCGATTCTTCGTCCTCCCGAGAGATTTTCTCTTGTGAGACCTTCCCACGTTTTTCTGTAGCAAGGCTGCTGGAGAAGCTCCGAAGGGATAAGACCGATCCAATAGAAGCAACCAATGATTCTGGGGAACGCCCTTTCTGGCTCAGTGGCCCAAAGGTTGGAAGGCAAGCTGCGATGACTGAGCAGGCCGGCTCAATGGTTGACCAGATTGTGATATTTGCAATAACAGCTAGGGTATGTTAGCTAAGTCCATCACGACTGGTTTCTGAGCGTTTCTCCAGTCAAATGTAACAAGAGATGAGGTGTCGCGGCTACACATTACAGTAGCTCGGATACGATCGAGGCAATGGTCTAGTTAACAGTCAACTAAACAGATCGAACAAAGAGTCTGAGATGATGGAAATACCGGTATGAAACTGTAGAAGATCTTCCCTCTCGGGTGTTATGTCAGGGAAGTAATGACTTCGATATTTCCACTTTCGCAGTAAGTTCTTTAATATTTACATCAGATACTGACTCTGCTGTTAGAGGGGAGGCGCTCTCACTAAACAATGGATCTCGTGGTAGACCCCAAGCCAGGCAAGATATCCCCCTCTTGGTAGCTCTACAGAATTTCTGTTATTCGAGCAAGCTCAGCTGCAGTAACATGAATGTTGGCTGAGGCAAGTAGCTCAAGCCACGCTTCATCCGTGGCATTATCCGTAGGTTGATCGAAAAAGCTAGATGGCGCGCGGAGATCGATTGTTTTCGGGACGTGAGTCACGTCGAAGTTATCGATAGCTATACATTGATCCGTCAAAGTTAGGAGATTTTCAGATGAACTCTTATGGTGGATTGACAGACCATGTGGAACTTTAGAGAAAGTTTCTGAACAACCGGACATATTGAATTGCAGTATAAGGACTATACCTGTTGTATACAGTATCAAAAGTAACATATATAAAACGGCTCGACCTCCCGTGGAAAGTCTGACCTTCGGACTATTTTCAAGTGACCCTATGTCGAGATAGTGGCCGTCAGGTTTTGACGGCGCCTCCTCAGAATCAAGGAGAAATGACTGAGATTCAGTGTCCATATTTTGTATGGTACAAAAGTGCTTGATGGTGGTAAACTAATATTGCTGCCGTTCGCCCATTGAGAAAGGTCTTGATACGACTGTTATGCCATAAAAGCAACCTGGCTTCTGTTCCGCGCTAATTTGCCCTGGTGGAACTAGCACGGGGGTTTGCCGCCTTTCCTAAAAGATCTGTCGTATTCCGATTGGTGTGGTATAGCACTTATCCTCATTGCTGTTGACTAGCCGGCTATAGTTGGCCACCACATGAGGTATTATTGTTTAATTTGTAAAAAACGTAATCTCGGTCTGAAGTTTGGGAAAGGATTGGAGGCTGTGCCTCCATGATAAGAATTCAGGGGGCAGGGAAGGTTCAGGGAAATACGCCTGGAATGACGCCACACGCAAAAGAAGTTGAAAATCAGGCAGACTTCCAAATAAGGAATATAAATCAGATGCCCTCCAACATTGAAGTGTGTTATATTGCTGTCTGCCGAAATCCTACTATACGAAATGTAAGTTGCTTAATATCCGTAGCAAAACAAAGCCGCTTTAGTAATTAGAATTTCTGCTGCAGCAAAATGTTTCTATTTAATCAACTAATATCTAACATCCATCCCCTTCAGCTCTATCCACTCCTCGGAGTCATGAGTGGTTTTTCCTGGCGGGTATGAGACAAGAATTCAAGGATCCTGTGCTTGTCATGTTTACCATATTTTTCAAGCTGCGTATGATGAAGAAAAAAGTGGATCTTACATATCCAGCTTGCAAGTGGATTGTTAGAGGAGGAAATCTCGTATTACCAACCATGTGGGGCGGTAACCATACAGAAGTTTCTCATGGTGGTCATTGGAAGAGAGTCATTCATCCATGCTCCATTTTCTCATCGAAGAATTTGAAAACCCTCTTCTATGTGCTCTTGAATAGCTTCTGAGTGATAGGAATGCGACTTTCTCCCAACTTCACGTTGAAAGATGAATTCACTAGATAAACAGTGTCTTTTGTTGATTGGTCTATAATACGAAGCTCCAAGAACTAAAAATGGACCGTCACTCACTCACAAAATAATCATACAGTACCGTAAGAACTTTCTTAAGCAAAAGATTTATTGGCATCATTGTTGAAGGAGGGTTGAGCAATGAGGCAAGCGAGTTGGACATGTAGGACTGTGCTGTAGGCTAACTGTGTGACCCAACCGCACGCTCAAACCATACTTATTCAGTAATCTATTTCCTACGAAATACTCAGCCTTAAGTTAGAGATATCTGGGTTACTATCTGCGCAAGAATTACAACACCGTCGCAATTAAACCTCATATGTCATAGATAGATAGCGGCCAACATAACGCCATGGGTCCCACGGAGGCTAGATGATGGCAGCTACTCGTATCACTTGCAAATTAGTGGACTGTGGTAAGGGAAACAATATATGCCTCAATTTTCTGGTGCAAAGAGTCTGATAGGACATCAGTGTGCGAAGCGCTTTGTATGTCTTGTACTATGACAGCTCGTCTATGCAAGGATCACCTTAACCGAGGTTGCATTGGAGAGAATAAGTAGTGCGAACTAGGACATTTATGCAGCCTTGTCCACCAGCACCAACACCAACCGGCCAAATTCAGAGCAAGAAACGAACTAGCAATATGAGCCAATTATCGCTAATTGTGATGTGCGTGAGGACAATCCAACTGCATGTATCCCAGTTATTCTGCGATCGCCCTTCTCCAGGTTCAAACTCTTTCATGCTCGTAGCTCCGCAACCTTCCTTTCCTATCACGATCAAGTTGCACAGAAATAATACAGAAAATATCAACTTGACTGGACAGCCTTCCTTATGTGATACAGAAATCTTTGCGAAAAATTAAACGGTGTTGGATGCAGGCGTTGGGCATTGGACGTTGGGGGAGCGAAGGGGGGGCTTGTAAGGAAGACTGCATCAGCTACAACCTCCTCTCAAGCTGTGGTTTTCTGTGCCTATATTATCCTACCACAGTTCGCTACAAAAGACATTGTTCTCTCACCTCATTCCAGTTTTGACATCGGAAATCCTCAAGATACAAGCAGTACCAAAACATCCTTTTCAACTTGTTTTCAACTCCTTCGATACAAATCCAACACCAAAACACCATCTCTATCATACGTCACATATCGCTACCATGAAGTACTCCATGCTCCTCGTCATTGGACTTTTCACGGGCATCTTTGGAGCTCCTTTGAATGGTTTGTATATAGCATCACTTTCTGGTGATATTTTGCTAACAGTTGTAGTTATTCGTCAAGGCACTGCTGAGGTCACTTGAATGACCGAAATTTCTGACAATGATGTCGTCTGGCCTGAGTTTAAGGCTGATTATCCGCAATCTGTGCCTGAGGAAAAAGTTTGAAGTTTGGGTGTAGTTGGAAACAGTATAATGTTGAGCAACCACGTCTGTCTTGGGAGACAATCAGGCAGTCATGTATATCTGATGGCATGGGAGAATGATTGAAATCTTTTTTCTTATGATCCTGCTACATGTAATGTGCTAAATGAAGCTGTATAACGGTTAAAATGATGGCCGTATAGTAAAGATGACAAGATTCATTGAGGCAGAGCAGTGAGACAATTTGTTGAAGTGCCAAAACACTAGTGCTGCCATCACGTGAATATTATTGTTTAGTCAAGATAAAGAGACTTCATTGGTTAGAGCTATCTGCAGCCAGAAGTAGCTTATCTCTATGCATGCAGGCCACTCTGCTGCAGGCCCACATTTAGTTGTACCACATTCCCTTTTCCCCTTCTCAGCTTTCTATATAGAACCACCACTTGCTCGCTGTAATCAGCACCAAACACACTTTCTCTTAATCAAACACACGTGGGATATTTAGCCATGATGGGAACCACAATAAACTTTGCGTTCATTGTGCTATCTATCTGTACGACATATTTTATATGGCAAAGACAGAAACACCTCACCAGCGCCCTTTCACGGACCAACAAGTGTCGTCCGCCACCAAAATACCCACTCCTAGATCCAATATTTGGGCTGGACCTCTTCTTGAAGAATGGAAAAGCCGTCTCAGAGAACCGCTCTCTCCCAACACTCCAAGAAAGATTCGCGAAGATGGGTTGGACCTTCGAAGCCCTGTTATTTGGAACAAAAACGATCTCTTCTATTGAGCCTGAGAACTTGAAGATGGCCTGGGTCGAGAAATTCGAAGATTGGGGTGTACAGTCAAGCAGACTCCCAGCTATGGGCCCTTTTGTGGGCCGTGGATTTCTAACAACTGATGGACCTCATTGGGAGCACTCAAGAGCTCTTCTCAAACCAAGTTTACGCAAAGCGAATATCACTTTCTGGCCCCTTTCGAAGATTCTTTTTGCAACAAATGATTAGGAAGGTTCCGAGGGATGGAACGACCATTGATTTGCAAGAGCTCTTCTTTGATCTAGTAAGTTGCCAGTGCCTGTGGCGTATTCTCACTAAAATTGATATAGTATCTTGACACTTCTTGACATTTCTTGTTTGGAGAAACCCTCGGTTCTCTCTCAGACAAGGTTGCTCCACTGTTGGGGTTTTAGACGCTTTTCACGCGTCTTTGAAGGGCGCCGGGATGCGTATTGCCCTACGTCCGTTCAGGTATTTGCTCCCGAATAAGAAATTGCGAGAAGCATGTGCAATAACACACCGTTTCGCAGATCATTATGTTGAAAAGGGATTAGAATATCGCCAAAGGTTTCTTGCAAAAGAATTGGACCCTAGTGAGAAAGCCAGCAAGGCAAACATTTTGCTCTACAGTATGGCCGAAGAGACGGGTGATCGGGAATTTCTCAGATATCAGATATTGCAAGGATTGGTAGCCGCTCAAGATAGGACATCGAGTCTCCTGGGAAATGTTTTCTTCCTGCTTGCTCGAAACCCGGATGTTTTGCAGAAACTTCGAAATGAGGTGGCATCTGTGAAGGACGCCCAAGACTACAGTACCTTGATGAAAATGGGATATCTACAAAAAGTCTTGAAAGAAAGTATGTTTTTCACTATGTTTCTGATAGAAACTGTGACTAACTACTTCAACTTCAGCTCTTCGACTGTACCCAGTTCTACCAGGACTAAAACGAATAGCTTTACGGGATACCGTTCTACCAGTCGGCGGAGGACAAGATGGTCGATCCCCTATATTTTGTGCAGCCGGATCCCATTTCGATACCTCCTTCTACGTTCTCCACCACCAAGCAAAAATATGGGGCCCAGATGTTAAGGAGTTTAAGCCCGATCGATTGGATACGTTTCAACCAAAGGCGTGGGAGTATGTACCTTTTGCTGGTGGACCCCGTATGTGCGCTGGTCATCAAAAGGCGAATTTGGAAGCGTCTTACGTGGTTGTACGTATGCTACAGGAGTTTGAGAAGATTGAGAGTCGTGATAGTCGCCCGTGGGCTGGCCAAGTGAGGTTGACTTCACGAAATGCGAATGGTTGTTTGGTTGCATTTACATGAAAAGATGGGCGGAAGTATTCGCGAATAACTTGATAGGAGGGTAGAAGCATTCTTTTTGTGAAAGTTCTTCTGCAGGCTTAAGCTATGGATATGCTAGTTTACTTGGACGTTGTATATATGGAAAGAAAATTGGTTTCGAGCTTAAAGGGTGCTATCTAAGTTGGACGATCAAAGCACACATGTGTAAAAAGGAATGCGTATAAGAATTCAAGGGCGAAGACAACATTATTACTAACAAATTCCTTCCAAAACCATACACCGTTAAGTTTATGATTGGACCGAAGCTGCCAATTGAATCCAACATTTTGAAAGCGGAGTTCTTCGAAAGAACCTTTGCTCAGTGAATATAAAGGTAGGATAGATTGAAGAAAGTATGAGCCTCAAACTATGCTGACTAGAGCTTCTTGCAAACCTCATGTAGGTAAACGGTTTTCGCGGCCATCGGTGGGCCGGGTGAAACCAACACTTGTGTAACCAAGACACAGCCGCAGCATTTATAGTACTCGGATGCTACAACCCGGTTAGTCTAAGCCAATTGAGACAACAGAAGCCGGACTTAATGTTTTACTGTGAACTGCATTTGTATATATATCAATTCTTTTCCGACCTTGGAACCTTTCAATCATACATCCTCAATCACTATTCTGTGTCATTGAACTACCATCGAAATCTTTCACCAATTTAGTTTTTCCAGACACTATAAGTATACCACAAAAAATGCGCTTCCAAACCATCGTTGGGCCCATTCTTCAATTAACTCCCGCTTTCGCAGACGATTACTCCTTTCTTACTGGAAATGATAACAGCTGTTGTCCCGATGATGAATGCTACATTTCAAATACCAACCGACTTGCGACGAAAGTCACCGTTAGCTATGGAGATGTGAACGTCACAAGTCACATACAGCTTTGCGGGAACACAGTCCCTCTCGAGGACCTCCATCGTATATATTTCCTCTGTCCTAATACAATCTTGCCTCTGCTTATCATATATATCAGCTCCTATTGCTGCGGAAGGTGCAACGAAAATAACCCTGGTCTACTCAAACCACTTTTTCGAACTCGACGGGACAGTCATTTCCAATGACGATGCTAGAGTAACAGCCGAAAAGGAATATGAAAGCAAGAATGAGGGCGCACTCAGTGATTATATTGCTTGCATCATTGAAAAAGACACGGACCCCGAGAACAGCGTCATTGGCGAATACCAATACGAGTTTTGACTGAGCCGACAATCATTTCGAGGGAGATTCACGAGGACTTGATTCTGAGTTCGATCTCTTGCAAATTTCAATACGAGGATTCTGTGGAAAACTGGACCGATGATGAAGCGATTGAGGGGGCCAATGCTAAGGGGGGGGTTACTGCTAGGCTAGGATTTACGGGGGATTTGTAGTGGGTTCTTGGATTGTAGAGTTTCCAGATGGGATTGATTCAGTGGAATGTGTCTTTCATCTTTGGCTTCAATGTTTTTCCCGTTTCTCGACAATGAATGAAACCCAAAATCTTTTCGGTTCCATTTGGAATACACGTTAGATCGATGGGGATTCGAAAATATATTAGACATTGTTGTGGATGAATTCTACAGTACTAAACTTTTTACGCTTACTACCGGGACACGTTTCTCGTCCATTATGAATTTCTATCACTTGAAAGTGCCTTTGAGAAGGTTCTGTTTAAAAGGAATTAGAGACACCAGAAACTTATAACATTACCTTTACATCAGTGTAGTCACTATGTTTTGCCTGGAGCCGTCCAGTTTTCTTCGAGCCGAGGGGAAGGGCACTTCTCACAAAGTCGCCGCCTAACCCTATTTTCCGAAAATTGCTGATTACAGCAGAGGTAAACCTTAGATTCAGAATGAAACTTGTAAGTTTCTGAGGTGTGATGATTCTCAGCTACGTATTTGAATCGAAATAAGGTCCTCAACTATGGGCAATAGCACGGAATACCAATCGCTTGAGCTCAGATGTAGCGTAATGTAGCGAATTCTGCGATTTACTATATGTCATAGGACAAATATAGTTCAAACATCTCAGCCTTTCGATCCGATGCCCATGAAAGTCGCGTCGCGGGGTGCATTACATTTCTTCTGGCGTGCTATCAGTAAGACACCCAACCCAATTTGCATTCTGACAACCCGTCCGTGATTACTGTAGAAGTTCAACTGACAATTTCTCAAACCCCCTTCGATAATCATGCCGGCAGCATTTTTCTCCAAATTGTCGTTACTACTATCTCTTCTAACGATGGACACAATTCGGGGAATATGAAATACCGGAATGGTTCTGCCCCCGCCTCTGCCGCCGAAAGTGGTGGGTTGGAAAGATAAGTGCAATGTAACTTAGCGGGTCTAACATGCAGTCATGTTGGTACCAACACAATAACACAGAGTGGAGCAATCATGACTACAATTGTTGGTTCATTTAGAATAACAGCCATGAACTGAGACATCGAGCCTGAACACGGAAAGATACTCTTGACACGTTGGTACTTTACTCAAACCATTAGTCTTTTTCGGAACATGCATGGACTCCTTTTCCCGTCTTGACACTCTTAGCGAGGATCTTGTCAACGAGATTTTCACATACTTGCCTAGACACGCATGTACGGGGCTGTCATATGTTTCAAGAAGATTAATTGTGTCGGATTTCTGCTCTTCCATTGTACAATTGATTTGAGTGTGCATAATTTCACACCGATTCATAACAGCTCATTCCCATTGGGAATTCAACGATGGCTTAGCAACATCAGAAAGATTGCCTTGTACTAGGTTCTATTTACAAACCAGCTGATTCGGCATACAGACTACACGAATTTCGTCCGATCTCTCACTTGGAGCTTTGGGATTGAAGATTAGGCAAACTCAAGCGAAGGAGAGAAAACTTCATGGAATCCTCTTAACATCTACGTCATGTGTTCTCTTCAGAACAACGCAACCAGAAGTGATATTGATGGCGGGCCACTTTAGCGAGTTTGCGAGAGCTTCTGTCATCACTACCCGTTCTAAAATTGTTTTCTGTGTTACTGCTGCGCAACAAAAAGACACATGTAACCTGCACGGAGCTAATAAATTACCCATCTATCCTTTAATTTGGACAATACCCAAGATGGCTGCATCGGGTGGGTTTGATCCCGAGCCGCGACGAGACAAATTGCTCATTTTTGTGTACAATAAGGACTGGCTTGGGAATTGTTTTTTCGTCCAGGCACTACCTGGAAATATGCGCAGGCTCTTAAATATATCATTGGTGTTAAGTTATAGGAGTATTCGGACCCTCTTTCTTCGCAAACAAGGTTCACAAATGTATCAACAAGATTTATCAAACGGACTTACCCGTGAATAGCATGCTGGAGTTAAAGTGGCAATGACAGAGAAGCTTGAGGGTTGCTAGAATACTATCATTAGATGCGATTCTTATTGTTGATTAACTCAATCACAAGAATAGTACAAACGTGTGAATGAAATTTAAACCGAACCTATATCCTAGTGTGACTAGAACGTACCTTTTATGACACCGCCCCCAAAAAACAACCTTTTTTCGAGATCAAATTTTTTGTTCTAAATCACTTGCTCTCACTTGCTTGTACTAAACAAGCCGATTACCCTCCAAGGAGACCCCTCTAAGGAGGCCTCCGGCCTTACTGTCGCCTCTGAAAAGAGGTCCGGATAGGGGAGGAGCACGCCCAATTCCCCCCCTCCCGAATATACAACAACACTTCGTCCTAGCAACTGCCAAAGCCC